CCTATTTGCAAATGGAAGAATCCTCCTCCTTCCCACCGCACGCTGGACGGAAGCTTTGACACGCCAGCCCTTTGGATGACGCTCTAAAGAAATGGGAAGTTTGGGTTGGTTTGGGTTTTTTGAACACAGCTTTGACGCTGTAGAACAAGTTGGGGTCTTGGTCTTTGTTAAAGAACACAGAATACTTGAGGAGGACTATAAACCAGCTACTGCTAAGGACGTTTGACTGTGCCACTGGAGAATCAGTGCCATATGAAGTTACTCGTAGCACCACTATGTAATAGTAATGGCATGAAAGGCACCACATAATTCAAAGGAAAAAATATGTATTTATTGCCTTTTTGTGGATCTGGAAATGTCTTTTTAGGCCAGTAATTTCTGGTCTGGTCTGTGCGGTCTCCGTAAGTGCTGGTTTGGTGGTTTGTTTTTTTTTTTTCATATCGAAGACTCTGCATCATCCTCTGAGCTAGCATATTTTCTAACTTTCCTGGGGACAGAAGTGGTGATGGCAAGGATAAGGAGTTTTCCTTGAGTGATGACCACATGCGCTAACTTGAATGTACTTCGGAGGCTTTTGGTAAAGTGTGATTCAGAGGACTCCTGACCAAGGACGCACTTCTCTTTCTGGGGGTTGACCTTTCCTTTGAACTGGAAGAAAACAAACCAGAACAATAAAAACCACACTCAGGGTGAGGTTTGCCCCGGGATTGTGAGGTCCAGACGTTAGATAAGAAGCCTGGTGCATAAAGAAGTTTGAGCAGTTACAAAGTTTTGTTTTGTTTTGCCTTATTTTCTTCAACAAGCAACAAAGATGAAAAAAAACCCCGGGCAGTCAGATGAAGGGATATTTCGCTGCAAAAATGTGAAAGGTTCCCCCTCCCCATTTCCTCTCTCTTCTTTTATTGATTTCTCTTGCTCCCATCAAGCCCTTGCTGCCTTGCACACAAGCCAGATCCAATTACCTTGTCATGGTTTTCATAAGGCTACTGCTCTACAGTATAGTCCCTTCAAGTAATTTCACCTTTTTCCGTGGTAAATACTCTCTCCTATGCTTATGCACAGGAATCACCCCAGTAGGGCACTGGGGATAGTTTTTACTTTGATATCAAACATCTCATCCCAACCCATAGACGTCAGAGGAGAGACACATCTGAACTGAAACGGGCTTTGAGTCGGACCCGCAAATACTTTTAGTTTAGACAATAGCCAGTGACTGGGAAAGCAATTCCCTCAGGGAAAATGGCAGAGGGAGGTACAGACCAACCAGAAACTGTAGCTCAGGCTCCCCTGTTTGTATATACAGACACGCATATGTATATGTATTTTATATGTTTATATATTTATATATATACACATTTGTGTGTGCACGTCTCTGTAATGTGTATATAATTATACATTTGTGTGTGTGTGTGCATGTATTTGTAAACACACAGAGACACATACAGACTTGCACGTCATTTAGTTTCATCTTTTGCTGCTTTCCAAGCTGTTGCCCAAACAAAAGTAGCTTTTCAAGATTACCGCCGGCTCTAGCCGACACACTATTTCATGTTACCGTCGGAGAGAGTCACCAGGTAGATGTAGTAACCTTGGCACTAGCTGGCGATACACCAGAAAGTCTAACATCATTCCAGGAATACAGCAGTCCTCTTGTGCCCCTATGTAATGCTGTTATTTCTGCTTTTAATTCGTGAATATATGAAAAATAATTGGAGTGATCTCCCTTTGTGGCTGGGGTAGAGGAGAAAACTGGATGGGTAAATTTCCAGTTACCACAGATGTTAGTAAACCATGCCGCACTCCACCATTGACCAAATTACTAGCTACCTCTAAATGCTATGGGTATGAACTGTCTGGCTTCCTCTCCATGCACACAAGTCTGCGGGTAAGTATCATTTAAATGAGAAAACAGCGTTGGTTGCAGCCCAACTGATATCTTTCCACACTGTTACTACGTCTCCCGTTTACAGTGGCCCTATCAAACTCCTCGATTTGTCCGAGTATTCATCAATCCTGACACATTTTTAAAATAATATAGCCCTTACAGCCCTTGTGACCTTGCCCACGAGAGTTGAAATGATCCTGGTGCCATCCTTTTGCCTTCACTGGGTTGCAGCGTGCGACCCACGGGGGAATCTGCTGCCGGCAGCTGCCCGTTGTCCTGCCTCCTTGCTCTCTGCACCGGCTGTGGCTCTGAAGGACCCGGCTCATCTCTGGAGCACCTCCACAGCTATTAGCAGTCCTTGCTCTGGCAAGACGTGGAGAAGTCACGTGCATGGCAAAGGAGGAGAGCTGGGATGCTGAGAGGCTTGCTGGCAGAGCGCTCGGTCCTTTCCCACCCCATCTGGTCACCACCATCCGTCGCTGATTTTTGCTTCTCTGCTGTTACCGACAGAAGCTCTGTATGGACTTGGTGCTACTGGAAGCACGGTCAGGGCCGCTCTCAGTTTGGAAATACACCCAGAAGAAGAACAACAGACATTTTGCTCTGGAGTGCACCCTTCCGTGGAGCTCTCCTTTCTAGTTTCTTAGCCCCTTTTGGGACCTTTAGACTCTGATGTCACCTACTCAAATTATCACCACCAAGCTGCAGCTTCTCTTCCTGGTCAGCAGGAACAACAGCAAAGCCTGACAAAGTCCGGGCATGCTTGCCTGCATTTTCTGCTCCAGCCAGAGACTCTACCTGAGGCCGGGTGCCTTTCTCATCCTGCCTGTGCTGCAGGTCTCTCTCCAGATATTTTAGGCAGTGAGTTCTTCAGCCTTTCTTTGTATTTAGAGCAGGCATTTAATTCCACAACCACAGGGGCTGCGCGTTTTCAGATTAAACTGTGGTTTCAATTCCTCATTGACTCAGTTCTAGAGTTGGCTAAGCACAGTGACACAGAGGTGCAGCAACTAAGTGCATATCACATACGTATCAGCTGGCCCTGACCAGCTTGGTCACTCTGACAACTTCCATCAAGGTCTCAAGGTGGATTTATTCAGCATCTCCTGTTAATATTTAAGTGAAAGCAGTATTAGAAAGTTGCTTGTGTTTTCCAGTGTGAAGTTTCTGTCAGTTCTGCTGCTGCTTTGTAGTGTCTTTGGAGAAGCAGGGGCCGACACAGGAGGTCCTGGTGGATCCAGGTGGCTGGATCCCAGCCATGCAGCAGGTAGCATTGGGAGTGCCGGTGGCTATGTGGTGCGGAGCTAGAGAACTGGAGGACCGGTAGACAAACCCGTGGTGGGCATACGCTTTCCAGCGCTTGCAGCTCTTGCATCTCCCATCTTCTAGGCAATTTGTGAGCTCGAGTCCCATGGCCGGGACACAGAGGCCTCTTTTTGGCAGAGCAGCCAGGCCATCCGCTTCCGATTGCTTCTGGTTCCAGTCAAACAACTTCTTCTCTGCTGTAGCTTTCCACCAGCTACGGGTAACCTCAGCACGATCAAGCTCTGCTGGCTGTGAAACCCAAGCCCTGCTAGGCACAGACAGCACCCAGCACTGCGGTACCACTGTACTCTCCCTCTCTGTTCCTCAACAGATCTCTCCTGGTGTCGAGCCACACCTGTAGGCACAAACACCTCCTTTAGAGAGCTGCTTTCTACTACCCAATTAGAAGGCTGTCAGCGACAAGGCCATCACTCCTCCTGCAGCTTCTGACAAGCCTGGACACCGCTATACTGCTGCAGAAGATTAAAGGAGTCTTGCCTTTGTATTACCCAGCGGCTGTGTGCTAGCCAGAAACTAATTCCCCTTCCCAATGAATGTGTATGTGGAACAACTAATAGGCTCTGTAAGCCTGTCTTCATTCCTTATTAAAAGGAACACACTCTCTAAAGAACAGAGCTGTCTAATACACATTTCTCCCCCATTTCCCCTTTCATCAAGCCTCAAGAGAGCTGCAGTTCCTGAGAATTAGAGACTTCGGGGGGTGGAGGCGCTTTCTAGTAGTTACGACAAGGCTGAGTGTCGGGAATCCTAGATTCTTTTTAATGATTCATTTAGAAGCGATGGCGATTGCGTTCGCTCTCCAGCGATTGCTTTCTGCACTGCATATCCTCTGAAACTGAGGAACAGATGGGTGTGCAATGCTTTTACCTCTAGATCCCTGGCTCAGATCTGCTCTAGGCTGGTAGCAACAGAACCTCATTGTGCTCTGAAGGCTCTTTGGCAGCCAGTGTGAAATGAGTTGAATGACAATCCCGTACATTAACTTTACCACCAAGCATAAAGATTACTGGGTAGTACAAAATAAATGTTGCTTTAATCTCCTGTGGCAGTACAGAGGTGCTGGGATTTGTCAGGCACTGGCAGAAGGAGTGATGGTCTGGGGGGGGACCAGATCTCAACAGCATCCCAGGGTGCATCTGAGACTGCACTTGGCCCATTAACTTCCAAATTCTGGCTGCTTTACACGGTAAACCTGGCTGATGGAGTATGTAGAGCTGAAACACAACTAAAATAATTGATTACCTATAAATTCCATCTAACTCCCCAAGAAGTGGAACAGGCATGTACAGACTACTTAAAGCTTGTAAATTCACTTAGCGTCAGATGAAGTGTACCTACTTCCACTGGTGTAAATCTGGAGTAATTCCACTGAAGTATAGGAAATGTAAGGTCAGTGAAGTTGACTGGCATTAAACTAGCATCGTCGAGAATCATTTTTTAGCTAGAAAGCATGACAGATAAATGTCCTTTGAATTCCTGACCCCACTATGAAAATTAAACACAAGATGTGGAAACTCTTTGAAACTGATAGAAATGTCTCCGTCTTACATCTCTCTCCGGTAATCAAAACAAGGCACTGTAATCAGCTCCGATTCTAGGTCTATCTGTAAGGAACAAAGTGAACTTAGAAAATTAAATCATTTAACACATTATTTCCTTCCTCATTTCGGCGCCGATTGAGCTTATTGCACAATTTCTCCCCCCCTGCCCTGCAGCTGGGTTGTTCTGCAGCCTGGCGGGGCTGTGGGTGCTGTGGCAGGGCAGGAAGGTACCCAACGTTCCTGTTTACTGGAAGGATCGCTGCTTTGGGAGATTCCCTTTTAGACTCAGAGATTTCTTCACTGCCTTCCTGACGTCTGATTTCCTATTTCCTTTACTACCTGCTGAGTAGGAAACTTGGGACAGACCTAAATGGGGAGTATTCGCCTATGCTCTTATACCATACCAGCAAAATACTGATTTTGTAGCCGTAGCTTAAACCTTAAGCATCTTCTGCAGGAGTTTCTTCCAGCCTTGCTCGGGTGCAACACGCTGTGTTGGCAAAAGTGCAATTTTGCTGGGACGAATTATTCTGTCCTAGGAGCTTTTGCCAACATCGGGCATCATTTCTCCCTCCACCTCTGCCTGAGCCAGCCAAAGTTTGTAATGTAGGCTGTAATTGATAAACCTTATTTTATGGATTTAGAGTTTTTTAGATTTTAGATTTATTTTATAGATTTACAGTTTCAATCTAGGAAGATTTTTATGAATAGCAATTGCTCAGGGAATATTCTAAAGATATTTTGGTTATTTTACATAATAGGAAATACAATTACCTAGCCAGTGGCCTGGGCAGAGGAAAAATGTTTCCAAGGTGGGATAACTCCCATAATATTTCAACGACGATTATGAACAATATGATAGTTCGCAAGATCAGCATAATTTTCTGTATTTTCATCCCCCCGCCCTGTGGGTGTTGTAGAACTAATGGTCATTTCAGTCATTATTTAGCCATGGAAAAGACTTCATTTTAATTTGGAAGGTGGGATTGGCTTTGCTTTCTTAGGAGAGTGTCCACTGAGATCCTACAAGCGCATTCTGCACTATTGCTTTTCCGTGACTTGTTTAAAGTTTTTATCAGACTTTGTCCACTAATTGTTTTTTTTTCCTGTTCTCTTCCGCCCTCTTTCTAACGCTTCTGTGTTTTCGAGAATTCACCAAAACACTGAGCATGAGTTTCTGGCCAGACAAAAATTACTCTTCTCAGGAAAAGCTGGATGGCTAGACTCGATGATCTTAAAGGTCTTTTCCAACCTCAGTGATTCTATGATTCTAAAAGCGCCCACTGTAGTTTTCTAATTATTTCTATTTCATATAGATTTCCTGTTAACTACGCCTACAGGAAATAAGTGCTAATCTGTTACGCATCGGTTTCTTAGCTAAAGTACTTTGCATTCCACGGCTAATAATAAGTGATGATTTTCAATTGACAACTTACTTCCTCCCCGGTGTCGTTTAGGGAAAGTGCCAAGGAGAAAACTGTCAGGGAGAGAAATAATAATAAAAAATGGCTGCTGGCCTGGCTGGGTTTCCTGCAAAGGCTGCCTCTGCACAGATGGCTTCCTGCGATAGCTCTTCCCGGGCACCACAGCTTGCTGGGTACGGGCTCATATATATCACCAGTGAAGGTTTGATGGCCGTAAAACATCTGCGGGCTAGGGCTTCGGCTGCGGTTGGGTCATTTGGGCTTCTTGGACCTGTATCAGAAAATAGATGAAATAGTTGCCCGTGCGTTTCCCTGATTCGTCGCAGCAAAGAAGGGTTAATGCTTTAAACCTCACCGTTTTCTGTATTTATACAGAACGGATACAAAGCAGTAAACTGAGGTATGGAGCAATTGAGTACTTTGTTCCAGGGGCCGTATGAGCAGAGGTGGGCTATGAACCGTGTGACTTAGTGTGATGTGGTAGCCAATGGCTTATATTTCTTATTTCCGCTACGCTTTCCTGGCAAACCCCCGCCTCTTACCTTCACCATCTTAGGTGAAGGAAAGTAGGACATATCGCTGTTGTCACAAGTCTTCCTATCTTGACTCCTAGAGTTTCTTCCCTCCTCGTGTTCCTGCTGCTTTCCAAGCCAAAGGAAATGCAGCGTGGGACCGCTTTTTGTTTGCTGCTGTAACATAAGCATCACGATCAGACATACGGCAATTCCTTCATTGCTTAACAGTGAAAACCCTCTCTTAGCAATAACAGGAGCCATTCTACGCTATTCCTGGGACTGGCTGGAAGCAGGAGAGATGTCTCTCTATCACCAAGTATGAAGATGACTAAAATTATAATGAGGGCAAGTTTGCAGCCCACAGCAACACAAAATGCAGCGGAGATTGTAAAACCATCTTTCCATGCCACACAGTCCACGCTGTGCTTCTCAGAAGATCTAGCTATCTGGGTTTCCTGGTCAGTGCTTCTGCCATTTCTTCCATGCACTCTTCCCAGGACTCCAGCTTCACCAACCGCTCTCCAGGGTGGGAAAATCAGGTTTCTAAATGCTGCAAGCAATACCTGGGCTTGATTTCCTGCAGATTCGGGAAAGGTACAGGCTTTCTGCTGTGGCCAAACGAGGGTGAACAGGGGGAAACACATTGGTAGGGTGTGGAAACTTGCTTAATATCTGACCGTAGATGTTTAGGGCTACGTGTCTTTTGCTCCCATTGCATTTTTACATGATTAGTCTTTCCACAAAGATTTTATTTGCTGAAATAAAATGTAAATGTAGAAGAGAGAGCTCTCTTTCTGCTCTGGGTGAGAGCTTGACCGTTTGCTTCCCAGCATCAGTGACCTGACCAGGTTTAAGATTCCCAGGCTACTTTTCACCTCAGCTGCAGTGAAGTGGGAGAGATTGATTGTAGATGCCCCATCCCTGGAAACATCCAAGGTCAGGTTGGACGGGGCGCTGAGCAACCTGATCTAGTTGAAGACGTCCCTGCCCACGGCAGGGGGGTTGGACTAGATGACCTCTAAAGGTCCCTTCCAACCCAAACTATTCTATGATTCTATGAATGTACACCCCAGGAGAATGTGGCAGCACAGAAGGATGTAGAGGATTTAGCCCACAGTGCAAATCACAGAGAGGAATGATTTCAGTAGGGATGACCACCCCCAGATGAGAACAGAAATAGATAAGAACTGAATGTAGAGATGCAGCTTGAGAGTGTCTTCATTTATGGTGCACGTGTGAGGCAAGACCAACTCTACAGGTCCCTTCAGTGGCTTTTAGCACGGAGGAACAAGATCCCCACCCCAACCAGCAAGTTAAAGCTGATAACGTGTCCTGTAATTGATGCCACGTGGATGGGCTCAGTCACGAACAAAAATTCAGGGTTCTTAGATGGCTCAGAAGTAGGTCCATATCTTGCAAACCTTTCCTTTTTAAAGGATTCATTGGCTTACATATTTACAGCAATATTGGCGAAAAAGGAGAACGTCTGACAATTTCCTACCAAAATCAACAGCAGCAGTCAGTTTATCTTGAGGAGATTTTGCTAGTCCACATGTCAAAGGACCACTATTTATCAAGACTATTACAGCTTTAATGAGCTTTGGGAGTTATCAAACAACTTCCTAGTCAGTGTGGGCAAAATTTATTCTATCTTCATACAGTCCTAGCTTGTACTTACAAGCTTAGTAGTAGCTGCTGTCCTCCTGCCTCTTGGGTAAGTAAGAAAACCTCTTCATCCCCATACACACATTGTGTATGTATGTACCCCAGCCCTACTGCAATGCTTCTGCTATGGCTTAGAGAGAAATCCTGGTTTAGAAAGACTTCCCAAACCATTCTGCCGGTGGTCCCCTGCTTAACAGCTCTGCAGGATTCAATTCTTCTATGTGAAGACTGATTTCACAGTTTCTGAGTTTAAAGTGAGTTTAACTGTGCTCTCAGTTACACCTTTGGTAACTCAAATATAGAATTTGTCCTGATATTCCTTCTGCAAGTGTGTATGTTTCATTAATGTTAGGACAAGTGTGGTCTTGTGCAATGAAAATATCTGGAAGTTTGAAAATTAGTCTAAGACCATGAAATCAAGCTAGATTTTCATCGGGAAAAAAGCCTCAGTCCCGCTGGGTACAGCTCCAGCAAGGCACATTTCATTCTCGATGAAAGCCTGAGTTTTCTTCCTTCCAAAGCTTTTATTTTGCTTGAGTTTGAATGATTGTATGATTGATTGACAGATGGAGAGACAGACACGCTGCCAGAGGGGTGCTATTAGGGACAACCTCTTCCGAGTTGCCTTGGCCAACATTTACCTGAAGCCTATCACCTCTTGCCTGTACTGCCTCGCATCTAACCCAACTTACCAAAAACTTGGGGGAGCTTGCATCTCTGGCAGAAATCACTAAGCTTGTATGTACACATTTATAATAAATCTCAACACTCTCTTTTTCACCTCCTTTCTCTGAAATTTTAGTTTTCTAACAAGCTGCCCATTTTCCTTTAATTACACAGCAAAACCCCCTATCTTCAATATCCACGCTGGACTCTTTTATCACCACGATATTTATTGCTAACTGACTCGTGGAACCTATTCAGCATATAACCTTCTTTTTTTTTTTTTCTTTTTGACCACAATCCATTTCCCCTGTGTGCATGTGTTTCGCTCCCTGTATCTCATCCCATCCCATTAGCTCTCTGTGCTGAATAGCCTGTTCCAGGACATCAAACTTTAATTTAAACAGAAGATGATCAATAAGCTTAGCAAATTGCCTATGGCAACGTCAGCAGTTTGAATCAAAGGGGTTTATAGGTAATTTAAAGGGCATCCTCATTCACCCCCACAACGTGGTATGTACCTATTGCTTGCTTTGCCAGTTACAGCTCAGCTGGCTGAACAAGAGGAATAAGAGCTTTTTCTCCACACACAAGCTGGGAAATGGTACACAGCATCTATTCCAGGCGGTTTTGATAGTGTGTTTTGAAACCACAAAAGGCAGGGCATCTCGGGGGGAGAAAGAAATCTTACTCACAAGACTTGTTAAAAAAAACCACATCAGAGCTTAGAATCAGTATCAGCACTAAAGAAACAGAGATGTGAAAGACACGCACTCCTCAGTCCAACCCTGTTCTGCTGGAGCTGTGGCTTGGGACCACCATATTTTCATATAAGGGAGGAGAGATTATATTTTAATCTGTTTCTAGAATCTCGCCAGTTTGATTTTCAGACATCTTAGGTAAATCCACAATGTTTATGTCAGAGAGCTTACATAAGAAAAACTACATCTGTAACCACAGTTTTGAAGATGTTTTGTTTGTACCAAGTTCTACGTCCACTGACCTGGATAATGATAATTTAAAGTTGCAAATACATTTATATTGAACTTCCCTTGAGAACACGAAGAGCTGGTTTGAACACAATTGTGAAGAAAATGAACCAGTGGGTTGGACTGGTGGCTCGATAAAGCCAACAGCTGCCTGACACATGGGTGACGGTTCCCGGCTTCCCTCCATCTTTTACCTTCTGTACCAGCAGCAGGCGAATATTGAACAGCTACCGCATTGGCTTGAGCTACCGGCTATCTTTGTTGGAAGAAGAAACCTGTTGCTGTGTACGGGAGAGAGGAAAAGAAACGCCATGAAAATGGGCGTTAGTCAGAGAGCGACGCAGGAGGTGGCTGCCAGCCAGCCCGCGGGAGAAGGCAAAAACCTCTTGAGAAGGTCTTCTGCAGGATTCACAAAATCTTGCGTTACGGAGGGGGGTTCTTCGGGCAGGGGGTAGCAGCGGCAAATATCTCTGGCCCGTGTTTCAGACTCGTAAACATTGTGCCCTGTTATTTAGGAGCACAGCGGGGGCCGATAAGGCCCTTGTAAGAGGGGATATACGGTTCTAAAGGCACTTAGCTCCTAGCTGGCTCTAGGTCGGAAATTACACAATGGATGTTGAAATGTTGGCTTGTTGAAAAGTTGTCATTTGAGTAATGGATGCTTTGTTTCCTGTTTTTGCTGAAAGCTAAAGCGAAACATAATTAGCAAGCGAGAAAGCAACCTTGGCAGCCAAACAAAAAAAGCACATTTTGGGCGCCTGAGCCAATTAAAATTGTTTATGTAGCCCATGAACAATATTTTTCTCCAAATCATTATGACTGAGAGAATTCATCGTAACACAGCCAGGCTTGCTTCTCACAGACCGGAGCCTGTGCCGTGTTGTGTGCTGTCGGCTCCCAAGGATGAACTGAGGGCACGCTGCAACGTCCAAGACGCTTGTAGGGATGAAAGAGAAAAGTCTTGTGACTGGAAGGGGAAGGCTCAACTCCCATTTCTTTTGGTTCTGGGTAGATCCCGTGCATACGAGAACTTTAATTTGCCTTCACGATTGAAATGTGTATTAATTTTAGATTACAAATCTCTTTTTTTCAGCTTGTCTTGCATTGCAGAAGCTGAGATCCTCTCCTTTTTATTCTGTAAACTCATAGCTTAAGAAACCTGCACTGTATTCCTTTTGATACTTGAGTCCATACCCTGCTTGATTCTCACATGGGTGCTCAGAGATTGAGTTTCTGTTGATGTAAGGTCTGGCTTCTTTTCTTGCTATATGAGAAAATAATCCCTTAGGAGAAAACAATAGGTGGACAAATACTGCCGCTATTTAGTATGATGCTCATCTGCTCCTGTCGTAACAAATTATTGTGTTTTCCATTTGTCTCTGAATTCTCAGCTTTCATTCCTGGATGTGTAGTCATTTTATGTGCAATATTTTAAAGTATTTTTATGAATTGGCCTGTTTTAATGTTTTGCTTGTTTCTGAAGCAAAGTTAAATCTGTTTGTGAAAATTATCACCGCCATTTGGTAAAAGTTATACACGTCCTGAAATAAACAAAAGTGAATGGATCGATACAGAGGAGAAACACTTTCTCTGCCGTGTAGCCCATCGCCAAGCAATGAACATTAAGTGCATACACATGCAAAATGAATGCTGTCTGTGTCTAGACTTGCCCAAAGTTGTATTTTTCTGTAAATGTGTTTTGCTTGCTGCCTGTCTCTGGCCGTGTTCAGTGTGTGTGTGTTT